GCTCCCGCGGCAGCGCTGTCCGCCGCGGCGGCCGGAGCGGGCCGGGCCGGGCCGGCGGGCCGGGGGATGGCGCTGCTGGACCTGGCCCAGGAGGGAATGGCCTTGTTCGGGTTCATCCTCTTCGTGGTGCTGTGGCTGATGCATTTCATGTCCATCATCTACACGTGAGTTGGAAGGAGCAGCTGCGGAGGGAGGGTCGGCTTGGGGACCCGCGAGGCTGGGAGGCATCTGTGCTTTGGAGGGGACCGGGCTCCGGTCGGGGGTAAAGAAAGCTGGTTCTCAAACGGTTCCCCCATCCTCTGTCTCCTTCGGGAGGCTGCGGCCGGGGGTCCTCTAGAGGGAAGAGTGTTGGACCGGGGACGGGGTGGCTGGGTTGCAGGCGACTGCAGAGCCGGGTGAAAGGGAAAGCCTGGCGTCTGGCGGAAGGTTGCCTGCTTGTTCTGCCGTGTTGGGGGTTCGTGTGATTTTTTTTTTTTTTTCAACCCGGGCCAAGATGTGTGGTATATTGTGTTTTTCTTTCCTGTCTCTCCACACGGGCCACGTTTCTATTAGGGCGATGATCGTTTCCACTCTTCGGGAGCTGCTCACAGCTACTAGACTTCCCCGTGGATTTTCTTCCTGGAAAAGCTGTGTGCTTACATAGGTGTGGAACACCTGTCCACCTTGAAAACCATCCACCTCCAAGCCTATTTAATAGCTTTGAGTCATGTCAGGGTGCTATTTCATTATGGTTTTCTTTACCCCTAGTTCCTCATATGTTGTCTTCTCTAGATTTGTATCCTTCCTCTGCCCTCCACATCTTTCATTTATTCGGCCGGTACTTGTGAGGCCTACTGGATACCACTCACCGTGCTCAGGCTGGGAGCACAGTGGTGAGTGAACGGGACAAAATTCCTGCCCTCGTGGAGCTTACATTCTAGAAAGATGAAACGTGGTAAAAATCCAAATAAGGTTATTTCTGGTAAAGACTATGAATAAAGCACAAGGCCAAAGGATTAGGGAGAGACACGGGTGGCTAGTTTTGATCCTTCAATGAAATGCCTTAAAATGAAGTCTGCCTATGTGAACAAATGAAATGTGTGAACAGTGCTTCTCAGTTGGACTCACTTGGCATTTTAGCCTGAAAAACAACAAAACGGCACAATAAATCGATTTTTACTACCAACCAGAATAGGATGGATATTAATGAAAAGGAAGGAGGTCAGGAAATTACTCTTAGGGATTTTTTTTTTTTTAATCTTTTTCTTTACTGCAGAAAAGGTGTGTTTTCTTTATTTAGTGTGGCAGTTCCTGATTCCTGATGCTGAGAAAGATACTATTTGTACAACATACACTGATACTTTTTTTGAAAGTGAAAGAAAATCTGCCCCTTCCATATTGCTGACTTTGGGGTTTTCGAGCTATAGTTACTGCTCATATCCTGGGATTCATTTTAAGTACGTGGGCTTTTAAAAGAAGTGATCCTTGCTGTATAAGAATTTAGACTGGAAAGGAATACAGAAGAAAGTTTATAACATATCTGAACAGCACCCTGTTAGCCCTTTGTACTTACCTTCCCTATTATATTTCTTTATGTGGAGAAGGTGGGCAGGAGAGGAGGGAGAAAGAGACCGTATCACTGTTGTTCTCTAACCTGCTTTAAAATTGCACCCATGTAGTAAGTGGTCATTGAAAAGCACTTTTGTACAAGACACTGTTTTAGGTGCTAGAAATAAGACCTGAGAACAAAATTTCCCAGGCTATTGCTCACAGGGAGCTGCCTGTAAAATGGCACTATTTTATTTCCATAATCAACAAATGCATGAACTCTCCATCATGTTAAATAGATGCATGGAATTTTAGTTTGTGAGGTACTAATATTTATTAGTTGTTACTAACAGGCATTTAGATGGTTTCCAATTTATCAGACAACCTTGGGATGATTTTTACTTTTTATGTACTTATTTTCCTGTGTGGGGACTCAAACTCAGGGCCTCCTGCATGTTATGCAAGTACTTTATCACTGAGCTACATTCCCAGTCCCTGTGATGAATTCATACACATACATCTCCTTAGTGTACATCTCAAAAAGAGGAAAAGTGGTACATTTTTAAACTTTGATACAATGTTGCCTTATGAAAAGTTATTCATGGTTCTGACAATATTGTAGGATGATTTTTATTTCCCTCTTTGTATCCCTTCTCACTGCTTTTTTTTTATTTTCATTTAGTCAGTTATTAAAACTACATTGAGTAGTTTTCCAGATATTGATATGCCAGTTATATTTAGTTGTAAATTATACAGACATAATCTTTTGCCTGTACTACAATCTATTGCTGAGTTCTTTGATGTGAAGGTAACTCTTATGTTACCTGTCACACACTGCAGGTCCTCCCCCACCCCCAGCCTATTGTCTCTCAACTTTACACATAATTAACATTGAGGGTGTGTGTGTGTGTGTGTGTGTGTGTGTGTGTGTGTGTGGTAGATGGGTCTTCAATTTCATGCTTTATCTTCATTCCCAATGATTGTATGTATTAGTCTCTTTTAATGTGAATTTTCTTAATGTTCACATTTTACTCTGTTAATTCTCAGTATTTTCCTGTTATACTATGAGATATAGAGCCTTGACTTTAGAGTCATTTAAATATTTAGCCATTTGTTCCCAGGTTATTTATTAAGCGAGCTGATTATTCTACTGTTTTGATTTGTTTTGTTTGAAACAAGGTCTCCCTGTAGCCCCAGCCATCCTAGAACTGGCTATGTAAACCAGGCAGGTGAATGAGTGCTGGGATTAAAGGTGTGCGCCACCATGCCCAGCCACTGTTTTGAAAATACTGTCTTTATCCTAAATTATTCCTTGTGTGGGCCTTGGTATGTTTCGGTGCTAATTCATGGCTCTCATGGGTTTTGTGCAAGATCCCTTCTGTTTTGGTTAGTGAAGTTTTATTAGCTAGAGAGACAAACCTCTCATTCTTTAGTAAGATTTTTTGACTTGTAAACTCATTTTAACTTAGACGAACTTCAGAATTTTTGTTTCAAAGTCTTCAGTAATTTCCTGGTTACAATATTAAATTTATAGCTCATCTCAGAAGAAACTGACTTCTTCTAACACGCACAATTGAAACACTGCCTCTGCCAGGGCACACTCAGAATAAGTGTCACGCTTCTTTAATATTGGTGTTATCGGTATATACAATGTTTCAAATAACCAGCTGGAAGTGGTGTATTCAGACTTGGGACACCTTCACAATTGGTGGGGGTTTTATTTTTGTTTTTTTTGTGTGTGCTTCATAATAAACAGGAAACATTTTCTCAAATATGTTTTTGAGTGTAGCACAAGCATTTAGCTCTGTTGAAGTACTATAGAGAAGTTTGTATTTGTTTTCTAACACATGATAACATTACCTTTAAATTTTTAAAAATTATTTTTATTTATTTGTATGTGTGTATATATAGTCAGGTGTGTGTGAACACCATGGTGTATGTGTGGCAGTCAGAAAACAACTTGTAGGTGTCAGTTCTCTATTTCTACCATGAAAGTTCTGGGACTCAAACTCAAGTCAGGCTTAGTAGCAAGCTCCCGTACCTGCTGAACTTCCTCTCTGGCTCCAACATTACCTTCTTTACTGACAAGAACATGTTCCTGAAAGATGATGTGAAAATTCATACAAAGGAAACACAATTTGTTTATAACAGGTTATACTGACTTGCTAATTATAGATCTTGTAAATACTGTTTTGAAATAGATAACTAAATATAAAGCAAATAATCAAGCCATGTACCTTACCACACACCTCTAATCCCAGCATTTGTCAAGGAGGCTGAGGCAGGAGGATTGTGCTATCAAGGACAACCTGGGATATATTTCAGAACTGTCTCAAAGACCAGCAGCAGCAGCAACAAAGCAAGTCATAAGCAGATTCATTTGTGTTTAAATTTATTCTTCCTCATTTATTTTTATTTTTTATTTTTGGAAAGTTACCTTCTCGTGATATGGTCCCATCTTCAAATTTGTTTTGTTAAAAAATATTTAGCATTTGATTATTATTATTATTTTGAGACAGGGTCTCCCTGTAGCCCCAGCTGTTCTGGAACTTACTATGCAGACCAGGCTGGCCTTGAACTCACAGAGATCTGCCTGCCTCTGCCTCCCAAGTGCTGGGATTAAAGGCATGCGCCACCACGCCCAGCTTGATTATTATTTTTATTTTATTTGTATACAGAGTATATTGCCTACATGCATGTAAGTACTCCTGTGCAATGCCCCATGGAGGTCAGAAGGCATTGGTTTCCACCCTGAACTGGATTATGAATGGTTGTTAGCCACCATGTGGGTGCTGAGAATTGAACCAGGTCCTCTGCAAGAGCAACCAGTGCTCTTAACCACTGAGCCATCTCTCTAGCCCCTCAAATCTGTTGCTTTGCAAGTATGATCACATCTTTTTTTTTTCTTTTTTGGTCTTTTTGAGACAGGGTCTCCCTGTAGCCCCAGCTGTTCTGGAACTTACTATGCAGACCAGGCTGGCCTTGAACTCACAGAGATCCGCCTGCCTCTGCCTCCTGAGTGCTGGGATTAAAGGCGTGCACCACCACGCCCAGCCCGATCATGTCTTTTTAAAACAACTGAAGTAAAGATACTTCCCAGTTTTTTGGGAATTGTTTTCAGCAGAAAGTAAAGAGCTTTTTGTTTTTTTTCTCTTACCCTTTTCATACTGTACTAGTAGAATTGCAGTTGAATCTCAACATTTTAATAAGCAAAGTTAAAGAACTTTGGGAATAAAAGGCTATGCTAAACCTTCAATATTTTATTAAAGGATATGCTTTCTGAATGTGTATTCTATATACATCCCTTTAGTCCTGTTTGTAATGAGGCAAACAAAGTATACATAAAGTAGGCAGATATTTAAGGCCTCCTCCTGAAAACTTGTGCTTACAAGTGGTAGCACAGTTGTCCATTTTCAGAACCTCACAGGGCTCTGTATCTGGGTGTCAGATTAAGCAGCATAACTATGAACTCCTGATTGTTAAAAATGCTTAAGGAATAGCAATATTGTAATAAAATTGCCGAAAAGAATTGTAAGGCATTCTGAAAACTTGATCTTTTTTTAAATATTAATACACTGTAATGGTATCTGCCTAGTCTAGTTGCTGTTTTATTGTGTCTTCTTACACTTAGATAAAA